CTCACCCAGTGGCTCCTGCCCTGGGCCTTGGGTGGTGACGCCGAGCGTTTCGAAGGGCCCGCGGGTCCCACAGACACGGTCTCGTTCCACGTGCTGCCTTTGACACTCAACCACTGAGCTATGCTGGCCGGCCCCCAGCTTTATAGGTGAGGAGACCCAGGCACGGAGGGCTAAGGAAATAGTGACCCTTAGGTGATGCCCTCAACCAGGCAGACGAGCCCTGAAGCCACGCACGTGGCCCTTGCACAACACAGCAACTCGGGGTGTGAGCGACCCTGTCAGGGACATGCCGGGGGACAGGCAGCGCTGCCCCTGAGTACCCTGAACTAGTCATGTTTGAGCCAAGCAGGGCTGCCCAGGTCCAGGGGAAGGGCCTCAGGAGGGCCACCTCCTGCGGGGGTCATGCCCGGCTGGGTCTCCCTCCGTGCCTGTCCACGGGCACCCTCTGTCCCCACTGGGATTGTCTCCCTCCTGTCCTGTGTGTCCCTGGTTGTTCGCGCACTGAGCGTGGTCTGAGCCGCAGCCGTGGGCACCCTGCTCCCAGCCACACGGGCCCGGGCCTGCAGGTGAAGGCGGGAAGTCTTGGGTGCGCGGCCTTCTTCTCCCGGGAAGCAGGTGCCGTGTGTCACTGCATTTCTCACATTGTCCCCCCGCAGGCCTGCAGGCCTGTCTTCCCCCCAACCCCTTTCCTGGTCAGCACTCCCCCCTGCAGGCATGTGCGCACACGTGTGAGTGAGTGTGTGTGTAACTCTGTGTGCACATGTGTGTGCAGGCAGCTCTGTGTGCACATGTGTGTATGCATCGTTAAATCCACATGTGTGCAGTTAACTCCACGTATGTGCATGTGTTAACTCTGCGCGTGTGCAGTTAGCGCTGTATGTGTGCAGTTAACTCTGCATGTGTATGTGTGTTAACTCTGCATAGTACACATGTGTGCGCAGTTAACTCCGTGTGTGTGCACGCTGCATGTGTGCACATGTGTGTGCTGTTAACCCTGCGTGTGCGCGCATATATGCTGTTAACTCTGCCTGTGTGCACATGTGTGTGCTGTTAACTCTGTGTGTGTGCACGTGTGTGTGCTGTTAACCCCGTGTGTGTGCATGTGTGTGCTGTTAACCCCACGTGTGTGCACGTGTGTGCTGTTAACCCCGCATGTGTGCACGTGTGTGCTGTTAACCCCGCGTGTGTGCACGTGTGCGGGTGTCTCCCACCCAACCTCCGTCTCCCACGCGCCTGAGGTTGTTGGCGGGCTGCGGGGGCGGGCGCAGCAGGTCCGCCTGGGCTGCAGTCGGTGCCTGGGCCGCCTGGGCCGCCCCCTCTCTGCCTGGTACCTGGCCTGTGCCGGGCCCGCAGGGGGCCGTGTGCACGGGGCACAGGCCGTTCCGTGCTGATGGGAGCCCGTGTTCGGCGAGCCTCGTGAACGTGGCTGCTGTGGGTCCGGTGGCCAAATGCTGGCCATGACACCAGTCTCCGTGAGCCAGCAGAGCCAAATGCTGTCAACAAGTGGGGCAGGGTCTGTAAGAGCCTCTAACTGGGGGGTTACCAGGCAGGGCAGGGGGCAGCGAGTGTCCACCAGGTGGGCAGGACCGCCGGACCCACGGGGACACCGTGTGGGGCCGCCTGGATCCGTGAGGAAAGGAGAGGCTCCTGGCCACGGAGCTGCGTCGCTGGTGCCCTTGGGCCAGCCCTGTGGTCCCTGCTCCGTGTTTGGTCGGAGAGTCCGTCCCGCGGCCCCGGGAGCGCGCGTCGTGACCGTGGAGAGCTTGCGTGCACAGCCTTGGGGGGCACTGATGGGCTTTCTTGTTTTTTCTCCTCACCCGAGGGTGTTTTACACGGATTTCAGAGAGAGGAGGAGAGAGGGAAACACCAATGTAAGAGAGACGTCAGTCGACTGCCTCTGTGTGTGCCCTGACCGGGGGTCGAACCCTCAACCTGGGTGTTTGCCCCGACCGGGGGTCGAACCCTCAACCTGCGTGTGTGCTCTGACCGGGGGTCGAACCCAAAACCTGGGTTTGTGTCCCGACTGGGGGTTGAACCCTCAACCTGGGTGTGTGCCCCGACCGGGGTTCGAACCCACAACCTGGGTGTGTGCTCTGACCGGGGGCCGAACCCACAACCTGGGTCTGTGTCCCGACTGGGGGTTGAACCCTCAACCTGGGTGTGTGCCCCGACCGGGGGTCGAACCCTCAACCTGGGTGTGTGCCCTGACCGGGGTCAAACCTGCAGACTTCCGGCTCCAACCCACTGAGCCACGCTGGCCGGCCGGGCATTCCTTTTGAATGATGGAAAATTTCAGAGAGAGACACCAAGAGCGAGTCGTGTTCTCCCCCACGCACCACCCCCAGCTTCCGCCGGAGTGTGAGCCCAGCCAGACCCCTCTGTCCCCCGCGCCCCACAGCCCCGCCCCCAGGAATCCCTGCACACCCTGTTGTGTCATCTGTAAATATTTCATTAGGCAGCTCGCTATGTTTTAGGAACGAAAGCCGCACGTCTCACATCACCACAGAAAAAAACACAAGTTTTTCTTAGTGTCCTCGGCTTCCCACGTAAGCTCACATCTCCCAGCCTCCTCCATGCCTTCCGTCAGCAGCCTCCACGTCCTCCGTGGGCAGCTGCGTCCTTTCAGGGGCTCACCCGCTGGTTCTCTTTCGGCCCTTTGTGGGGGGCCAGGCTGTCTGTGGGGCCGGGCCCTCTGTGGCTTTGCTCAGCGTGTCCCATGGATTCCACACGTGACCTGTCATGTCCCCGTCCCTCTGGGCTGATGGGAGGGGTGACCTTGGGGGGAACCCTTCCTCGGGGTCCCCACCTCCATCATCATGGCTTCGTGCCATCACCTCGTGAGAGGTTGCGAAACAGTGATTTCCGACTCTGCCTCCTCTCTGCCTCCTCCCTTCTAGCGTGTATTTCATTTCCCGTGCCATTGGGTGGCCCCGCGCAGGCACGCGGTCCCTGGAGTTCCAACTACTTCACGTGTGTTTCCTGAACACACGCATGTCCTCTTGTCTAGATAGTGCTGTCATCAGCGTCGGGAAACGAGGGTTTGTAGGGTGCAGTTATCTAACCTGAGCTCTTACTCTAACTCCCAGCTTGTCCCCATCATGTCCTTTATGGCCAAAGAGAGACGGACCCCGTGGCACACGGCGGCCCTGCCTCTTCTCTCCTGTAATCTGAAATGGATATATTTCCCGTTGGAATTTTTAGAGCGGATTTAAGGGAGGGGGGTGGAGAGAGAGAAGCATCAATGTGAGAGACACATTGATTGGTTGCCTCCCGAATGCACCCCGACTGAGGCTGGGGATTGAGCCTATAATTCAGTTACATGCCCCTGGCCGTGAGTCGAACCCGAGACCCTTCAGACCGTGGGGCAACGCTCTAACCACGGAGCCACCGGCCAGGGCTGACTGTTGTTCTGAAGAGCACAGGCCACTGTTCTGTAGAGGGTCCCTCAGAGAGTGTTTTCCGGCTCCGCCCAGGGCCAGCCAGGTCTTCGGAGGATGACAGAACCCAGTCTGGGGGAGAGTGAAGTCGGAGCTCTGCGACCTCTCATGGCCTCCCCCTGCGCCCCACCCCACTCAACACCTCACCAGCTCCCCGGGCTGTGGGAAAGGTGCATGTGGTCCCCACTCCCTGGGGGCGCCCCTGAGCTCCCGTGCGGGCAGTGGGCAGAGAAGCTGCCAGGCCAGCATCCCCATCC